ATTTCGGCATCATTTAATGTTCTTGAAGCATATGCGATCGGTTTGTCTTTTCCTATTTCACCTTGTGATAAAACAGCACCAAATTGGCTAGCGTCAGTTGTTAAGATAAAAGGTTTGGAAAAATCAGGATATTGTAAGATAGGATCATTAATTAACAGATTTTTACAAGTCTCGAAACATTGAATGTATTCAGGATTCAAATCAATTTTTACATCTTTTTTCAAACATTTGGTAAGCGGTTTGGTTAATTTAGCAAAGTCTTTTATAAATCGTCTGTAATAGCCTAATAGTCCAAGGAAGCCTTTTATTTGTTTTGGAGTCTTAGGTATTGGAAAATTTAGGATAGCTTGGATTTTATCTGGGTTAGGTTTGATTCCGTCTGGTGTAATGATATGGCCTAAAAATGCTGTTTCTTTTTTGAGAAATTCAGATTTATCTGGTTGAATTTTAAAATTGGTTTCTCGGAGTCTTTGAAAAATTTTAGTCAAACTATCTATATGTTCACTAAGTGATACTGAATAAATTATTATATCATCAAGATAAACTAAACAAATTTTGCCAATATAATCTCTGAGGATATTATTTATTACACGTTGGAAGGTGGCTGGGGAATTCTTTAAACCAAAAGGCATGCGTAAAAATTCGTAATGTCCGTCATCTGTACTGAAAGCTGTTTTTTCAATATCGTCTTCGTGCATTTCAATTTGGTGGAATCCAGAAGCTAAATCGATAGTTGAGAAATAATAACATCTACCTAGTTTGTCTAGAACGTCTGAAATATTTGGGAGAGGGTATTTGTCATCTATTGTCTTGTCATTAACTTTGCGGTAATCAACAACTATTCTCCATTTACGTTTTCCGGATGCGTCAAGTTTTTTGGGAACGACCCAAATGGGAGAGGACCAGGGTGAATTGCTATGTCTAATAATCTGTTGGTCAAGCATTTCGTTAATTTGGCGTTGGACTTCTTCTCTGTGGATTATTGGGTATCTATAGGATTTGGTGTAGACAGGAATTTCGTCGGTTGTGCGTATCTTATGTTTAACCTGGTTTGTAAAAGTCAGTTTGTCATCTGGTTTATGAAAAGTGTCTTTATATTTTTTGCAAACTCTTAAAATAGCATTTTTCTCTTCGAAATTCATGTGGTCAGTCCGTATTAGGTTCTCAATATCCGAAAAATCTATATTTGAGTCAGATTTGTCTGTACAAAAATTATAAAATTCTATTTCATTTGTGAGTTCTACTTGTAAAGGTTTGGTTAATGTTAAATTAATTTCGTTCTCTGTTAGGTTATGAATTTCAACTATGGCTTCATTGTTTTTTGCTAATGTTACGGTATCTGGAATGAAACAATTTGGAAAATTTTGCCTTGTAATTAGAATTTCACCTTCTTTAATGTTAACTGGGACTTTACATTTTTGAATGCATCTTTCTGGTATCTGTTGACTAAAAAGTATTTTTTTTGGACTTTTCAAATAATGTAAATTTAAATTAGTATTAGGTAATACTAGCAATTCATTATTAAAATCAATGAGCGCCTTCAATTTTTTAAGGTTATCAATTCCTAACAACCCATTGAAGGTTTCGTGAAACTTAAATAGGTGGAATGAAAGATTTTCATTATTTTGGAATTCACTGAAGCTTGGGACGTTGCATGCAAAATTTTCTGTGTGCGTCGATAGAGCTGTTTTTATTGTACAGGGGTCAAAATAAATGGAACTTTTGAAATATCTATTAGCAATCTCTGGGCAAATAAATGATTTCGTTGAACCTGAATCAATTAAAATTTTTAGGTCTGGATTACTTATTTGAATATAAGGAAGAGAATAATTTTGAAAACTGTGAAATTCAACTATGTTTGATTTTGTCGTTGTTCGTCCGTTTGAAAATCCACATGTGGTTCGTCAGAGTATGAATCTTGTTCTAAATCAATGTTTTCTAAATTGTAGAGTCTGTTATGTCGTTGTTTGTAATTTGCGGAATTAATAGTTGATACACCACTCATAGGTGTCCAGTCAGAACCTTTTGTTGCATTGTTCGTTTGATTTGGAAATGGGGAATTTTGTTGGTTAGGTCTTAATGGTTGTTGAGTCATTTGGTTTGTTTGAAAGTTATTTGATTGGAAGCTATTTGGTTGGAAGTTATTTGTTTGGAAATTATTTGGTTGGGACATTTGTGGATTATAAAAATGTGGTTGGAAATGATGTTGTCTCTTATAATTTGGAATTGCCGTATTTGAATTTCTAGGAAGTGCAAAATTGGGGCCGTTTTTCTGATAACTTTGTGGTTTACTATTTCTTTTACTATTGTATCTAAAGTGGTCTGAGTCATCTCTAACACTACTAACATAGTCGTCCTTTTCTATAATCCTTAAGGCTTCTTCTAATGACGAAACGTTACGATTTCTGAGAAGTGAACTATATGGCTGTTTAACGTGTGCTATGAATACGGCCAAGGCACTTTTTTGGAAGTTGTTGCATCTATCTAGGATGATTTCTTTGTTTGTAAGGTGTAAGTATATATAATTATTATAAATTGTAATCAAATTTTGAAATCTTTCATAGAACTGATAAACGGTTTCATTTGGTAATTGTCTCATATGATGGAGATCAAAAGTTAAAGATATATCATCTCTACGGTCTGAAAATTTTGATATTAGTACCCTAACTATATCATCTATTTCTCTAGCATTGGCAATTTCTATAGCATATTTAGCATTGTCATATAGTTTCGAAAAAACTGCGCTCCTAATAATTTCGTTTTGTATACATGTCGGATTACTACTGTCATGATATCTACTCTTGATTTCCCTAACTCTTGAAATAAATGAATTTAGTTCTGCGGGGTTACCGCCAAAACTTGGGATAGTGTCGATCAATATATGATCAAATTTGGGGATGTTTTGAATGGACATATTTGCTAATGAGTTTGCTAAGTTCTCTATAAAATCAATACCAATTTCCATAAACTAATTCGCGTACGTGGAATTATGTTTCAATGGAATGCAAAAATGAAATAAACTTGTATATATATTATTTAATCAATTAATTAATTAAGAAAATTTAAACTGTGAAAATTGCTTTTCTTATCTCCAGCGATTGAAGGATAAGGGAGGATGGCAATTTTACTATCAATTAAAATTTTTCACTCACCAGTTCCAGATGTTTCGGCGAATTTCCTCTTCGCACTTTTTTCACACAATATATTTTTTCCACTTGCACTTTTGCACACTATGAATTACAATCACCTTTGAATTGATTGGAAATCCTGCGATAGGCCTTCCCGAATTCAATCCTATTGGTTTTTCTATCACTTTTACTAATTACTGGTTCTGAATTCTAAATGATTGAGATCAACGGATATCTGCGATAGATGATCCTGAATTGATCCTACCGACTGCGCCAATTTTATACTCGTTATTCGAGAATAAAATAAAAAAAAACTTTATTTCTTAAAACTACAATAAAATATATAAAATAACTGAATTTTACAATATAATGATATAATGAATTATAATTATATAACTGGACTGGTGTAAATACTGGCAAAGATTATCCTCCTCGAATGTAGAGATCTTGCTACTTATATAGTTAAACATATGCTTTATCAGCAAGGAGGATCTTGTGGCTAGATATAAGCTATGTCAGCGGGATGGATCCCGTAACTCAGGTCCAGCTTAAAGGTCAGATTATGTAAATTAGAAGCTATAGCTATTCTCTCCCCCATATACTCATACGATTATATAAGCATAAGATGTAAGAATAAGAAGTATTAGTTACGGAACATTGACTGTATGAAAGTACAGTCAAGTTCCACACATACATACGCAATGAATTATTAATTATTTAAATAGAGTTAGTTATAAAAGTAATCTTGGTTTCATTCGTATAGTAGCTATTAACCCCCACAGGTAATTACAGGTACTTTAGCGGGCGATTGGAGTGTTGAAGTAACCCCTTCGTAATGGGGTTGCAAGGCTAGAATATAATATTTGGCAGCCATTGCATACCCCAAGAAGGGGGCTTCAACCTCCAGTTGTCACAATATAATGATACAAAAATGTATGAGGTTAACGACAGTTCATCTTCCATCTCATATATTGACACTGGATATCGGCACATTTATTCAATATTATGATGAAAATTTATTAAATATTGTGATTTTGGATTGTCATTATACGCCCTAAATTCATATATAATTAAATATTTCGTTTATTCGCTTCAAAAACAGTCGTATATGTGACCCTCCTACACTAGGAAAATGACATAGCTGGCGGGTGTTGCTCAAGAACTAAGGTAATTAGGGGCTGACACTATAGTTTTATACTTCAAAAATTTCATTAAACTTATACTATTTAAACAGAAACCAACAAACTCTTATTTTTTCACTTATATTACACATTTGATGACGTTTAAAAGCTGCATATTATGAAGAATATGAATTTTTCAACTTTTCAAACGGCAATATCTCAGAAACGGTGATACTAACAAAAAAATTAATAATGGCAATTTAATAGAGAATTTTATAATAAATAAACTTATCTAACATAATTTTTTAAAAAAATTATGGTTTCGGCGGAAAATGGGAAAAACTAGATTTTTGCACCTTTGACCTTGAATAAAAAAATCGCAGATGTCGGATCGATGGGGACTTTTGACATTTCATTTGTAATGGCCTATTTAACATCTGTACCAAATTTCAGCTCTATGCGAATTGTTCCTAACTGACGGCTATTTTAGCTTTAATTTCACTGGGGTATTAGTTTTGTGCGACGTTTGCGATCATAGTTTTAAAGAACATAATAAAATATTATGGTCCTGCGACAAGAGGTTTAATTTTAATAAATTCATCAAAGTTTGAAAGAATTTAATACCAGCTTCTCTCTAGGTCCATTATTCCACATTTAAATGTCTAAATATTTCCTTTTTATTACTAGAAATAGTCTAACAAGTTGCAAGATCCATTCGGTAGACTTGGCAGGATCTTTATGGTCCTGCGACATGAGGTTTAATTTTAATAAATTCATCAAAGTTTGAAAAAATTTGATACCAGCTTCTCTCTAGGTCGATTATTCCACATTTAAATGTCTAAATATTTCCTTTTTATTACTAGAAATAGTCTAACAAGTTGCAAGTTACATTTGGTAGACTTGGCAGGATCTGAAAGAGCAAATAAAACAAAAGCAACTGGTAATCGCTTCCGAGAAAGTGTAAAAATTAATAAAGGATTGTTAGCTCTGGGTAATGTCATATCAAGATTGGGCGAGGGCTGTACGGGTTTCATAGGTTATCGTGACAGCAAATTAACAAGACTACTTCAAGGTAAACTGAAACTTTAATTATTACATATCTATATATATATATATATATATATATATATATATATATATATATATATATATATAATATAATTTAGTGCTATGGTTAAGGTAAGCTAATCTTCTTATAACAAATAGCAAGCATATTCATTAAAATATATTATTAACTTCCCGAAGGAGAAGTTTATGTTTTCATCAAAAAATCCGATTCGCTAATTTTATGTTTTCTCGACGTTTCAAGCCATTCTGAATCGAATGAGACCAAATTTGGAAAAAGTATGTGTGTGTGTGTATGTGTGTGTGTGTGTGTGTATGTGAACAGATTTTTTGCCGTAAATCGACGTTTTCTCAAAAATGACTGGACCGATTTTAAAAATTTAAAAGCCATTTGATGTATCTCGATGAGGACTATCGTTTGTCAGTTTTGTGCGACGATCTGCCAAGCCGTTTCTTTGCAATTTAAAAAAAAAGTGTTAAACTTTTCGTCCACATTTAAGCTCATCCTACCGAACCGATTTAAAAAAATCAAAAACTGTTCGAAAGATATTAGTTGTGAATGGTACTGATTAATTTTAGGTGAAAATCTACCGAGCCGTTTTCTTGTAATTAACTGTTGAAAAAAAGTGTTAAATTTTCGTCCACATTTAAGCTCATCCTACCGAACCGATTTTAAAAAATCAAAAACTGTTCGAAAAATATTAGTTGTGAATGGTACTGATTAATTTAAGGTGAAAATCTACCGAGCCGTTTTCTTGTAATTAACTGTTGAAAAAAAGTGTTAAATTTTCGTCCACATTTAAGCTCATCCTACCGAACCGATTTTAAAAAAATGGGAATGGTACTGATTAATTTTAGGTGAAAGTCTACTGAGCCTAATGAACTGTTGAAAAAAAAATTCAAGCCGATTTTCATGGAACTTTTTTTTGGTCTTAATCATGGTCTTATAGAACTTACTGTAATATTACGGCATTACGATAAGTAGTTTAATTTTAAAAATTCGTCAAACTTTACTAAAATTATTATCGTTTTTTAAAGTAGGATTGATGAAGTATATTATTTACTATATTATTTTCTTCATAAATAAAATAGAATATCTCATATAAGATCTACACCTGCTCAAACGATTTTTGAAAAAATTTCAGATGGCTGATTCTGCTGTTAGTGTACAGGTGGCTTTAAGGATAAGGCCTTTAGTCAAATCCGAAATTTCTAAAGGATATGTTAAATGCCTCGAAACAGTGCCAAATAAACCTCAAGTTTTAATAAAAAATCTTTCTTTTACTTACAACCATGTATTTCCACCAGAAGTTTCGCAAGCTGAATTTTATGACACTGCTGTTAAGGGTTTAGTTTATGGATTGTTTAAGGGTAATTTATTTCTACTAGAATTTAATTTTGACATAACATAACTTTGGTGTAGGTGAATTTATCTCTCATCTATAATCCCAAATTCTATTTTTATCTTCAGTATCTTTACTTTATTATTTATTATTTTGTTCAATCTAAAAATATATTTTAGGCTACAATGTGACAATATTAGCTTATGGTCAGACTGGCTCCGGAAAAACTCATTCCATGGGCATGGCTTATTCAGTTGGACCAGTCGAGGAGATGGGTGTTATACCAAGAGCAGTAAAAGACATTTTTCAAAAAATTTCAACTCTGACGGAGCAATATAATTTTCAATTACAAGTTAGATCAATATAAACTACTTTCCAAATATTAAAGCAATAAATTTAAAGTGTATTGTTAAGGAGCATATGAGGTTTAAATGAGAATTAAAATTTAAAAGCCATAACCTTTTTACACTGTAATTAGAGTTTATTTGAATACCCATAAATGGTCAGAAATTAAACATGTCAGATTTTCAAAATCTTTGCATTGTGTTTGTACTTCTATATGTTTGGTTGAATATAATTGTTCTGCACTCCTTAGGAGTATATGGATTGCTATTTAATATAATTTGCTTTTAGAAATCATAATAGTTGTAAACATAATAATAACAGTAAGTCATTTCTTCACTAAAGTATTTTCTCATGTTCTACAGGTATCATTTATGGAATTATATCAAGAACAATTATTTGATCTTTTATCAAAATCAAATAGAGATCAAAGTATAGTTGATATCAGAGAAGATCAACAAAAAAGAATTGTAATTCCTGGATTAACCGAAATTGAAGTACGTAATGCAAAAGATACATTAGATTGTTTAGTTAGAGGATATCGTCGCAGAGCTGTAGGTGCAACTGCAATGAACAGTCAATCCAGTAGAAGTCATGCAATATTCACTATCCATATACTACAGCGAAAAATCAGCGATAAGTAAGTAATAGTCAGTAAAAGAAAAAAGCTTTACGTATTATTTTTTTGTTATTTAAAACTGGATCTAGTAATGATGAATGAAAATAATGGTTTTTGAATTGAAAATTATTTTAGTTCACCATGGTTGTCGCTTCGAAACCATACATACAAAGCATTTGTGCGAAAATTATGCGTGTGTAATGTTAGCGTTTTTTTGGATCTTCTGTTGACGTTTTCACAAAAACGATTGAACTGATTTCATAACTTCAAATGCCATTGTATGTAATTTGGTAAGGACTAGCATTGATTATAGCCCAGTCAAATTAAGTTTTCAGTTAGGAACAATTCGCATAGAGCTGAAATTTGGTACAGATGTTAAATAGGCCATTACAAATGAAATGTCAAAAGTCCCCAACGATCCGACATCTGCGATTTTTTTTATTCAAGGTCAAAGGTGCAAAAATCTAGTTTTTCCCATTTTCCGCCGAAACCATAATTTTTTTAAAAAATTATGTTAGATAAGTTTATTTATTATAAAATTCTCTATGAAATTGTTATTATTAATTTTTTTGTTAGTATCACCGTTTCTGAGATATTGCCGTTTGAAAAGTTGAAAAATTCATATTTTTTATAATATGCAGCTTTTAAACGTCATCAAATGTGTAATATAAGTAAAAAATAAGAGTTAATTGGTTTCTGTTTAAATAGTATAAGTTTAATGAAATTTTTGAAGTATAAAACTATAGTGTTAGCCCCTAATTACCTTAGCTCTTGAGCAACACCCGCCAGCTATGTCATTTTCCTAGTGTGGGAGGGTCACATATACGACTGTTTTTGAAGCGAATAAACCACCTATTGGTGTACGGCATTTAAGACAAATTGCTGGAACTTCCCGTACCAAAATTCAATTTTTCAAAAAAGATTGATTTTTGTGAATATTAAATTTTTGAGTAAATTGACTTATTTGAATTATATTTAGAAATAATTTGGAATTTTTTAACTTTTTTAACTTTTTTTTCAATGCAATATCGCTCCATACTTATTATTAAAATCTCTATAAAATATCTAATAATGTGATGCGCATATCGATGCTTTTCTGACGCAACCTCGTATCTCAGAAACTACTACTTTTCAGGAGAGACAAAAAACGTTTTATAACGAATTTTTGAACTGCTGTTAACAATTTTTTTATAAATTTTAAAAATATTCAATCTTGTAACAATTATTTATTATTTTTCTTCAATTCTTTGAGATACGTGTTTGTCGCACGGAAAAAAAATGTAACATTTGCGGCATGCTGTTTTCAAATAAGAGTACATGAATAACTTTTTTCAATTGTTTTATTTTGAGAATCGATCAACTTTTTAAATAATTCTTAATAAAAAAACAAACATTTTTAAACTTGTGGTATATGTTAGTTTATAATTACGACAATATAGTATCTGGCCATAGTTTAGGTATTTCAATACCTAGGATATTTAGCTCTTTCATGGATTTATAATTTACTACTTTGTGATTATCATTTTTATTGTTACTTTTATTCTTTTTAACTTCCCGAAGGAGAAGTTTATGTTTTCATCAAAAAACCCGATTCGCTAATTTTATGTTTTCTCGACGTTTCAAGCCATTCTGAATCGAATGAGACCAAATTTGGAAAAAGTATGTGTGTGTGTGTGTGTGTATGTGAACAGATTTTTTGCCGTAAATCGACGTTTTTTGAAAACGGCTGGACCGATTTCAAAAATTTAAAAGCCATTCGATGTATCTCAACGAGAACTATTGTTTGTCAGTTTTGTGCGACGATCGGCCAAGCCGTTTCTTCATAAATGGCAGAAAAGTGAAAAATTTTTCGTCTACGTTTTAGCCCGCAATTCTGAATCGATTTTGAAAATTCAAAAACCGTTCGAAAGATATTGGTTGGGAATCGTGCTGATTAGTTTTTGGTAGAGATCGGCCGGGCCGTTTTCTTGTAATAAAGTTTAAAAAAAAAAAATTCGACGATTTTTATGATTATTTTTTTGACGATAGATACCATAGTCTTCTAGATCATACTAAAATATTACGGCCCTACGACAACTGGTTCAGCTTTAAAAATTCGTCAAAGTTTGCAAAAATCAGTATGATCTTTTTGGCATTTGTCAAAATTAGACTTTTGATCGACGTTTTCTCAAAAACGCCTGAACCGATTTTAGAAATTTAAAAGCCATTTGATGTATTTCGGTGAGGACTATCGTTTGTCAGTTTTGTGCAACGATCTGCCAAGCCGTTTCTTTGTAATTTGAAAAAAACTTTTCATCCACATTTAAGCTCATCCTACCGAACGATTTTAAAAAATCAAAAACTGTTCGAAAGATATTAGTTGGGAATGGTACTGATTAATTTTAGGCGAAAATCTACCGAGCCGTTTTCTTGTAATTAACTGTTGAAAAAAAAATTTAAGCCGATTTTCATGGAATTTTTTTTGGCGATATACATCATGGTCTTATAGAACTTACTGTAATATTACGGCCTAAAGTTTGCTAAAATTATTATCGTTTTTTTTTAAAGTAGGATTAATGAAGTATATTATTTACACATTTTTTTTTTGATTAAGTCGATTATTTACACATTTCGAGAAGTTCATGTAACTTGCCTCAAGGCTAAATACCAAACCAACTAGTTAAATTTATAATATGAAATTTGAATTTATAGTTTTCCAAATGTTAATTAATCACAATTAGGAATGAAATTTCTAATATATATATCATGTTGCAGTACCTATAGAAAATTATATTTTTTCAATATAAATATTTGGCATAATTTACAAAAATATATATTTTAATTTTACAATCATTTAAAAATAATATATCAGAAATCTTGTATTTAAAACTGACCTGCTCAATTTGAATCAAAACTATTATATTCTGATTTTTTATTTTTCAAAGAAATGATATAAAAACTTTTTGTACCTTCATATTTTTTCAATAAAGTAGGATTGCAAGAATAAATATTTAATATTTTTTAATATTTAATTTATATACATATTTCACTTTGAAATACCATTTCAATTTTACTATTAACTATTTTAATTTTATAGAGATGTCAAGAGATTCATGAATGATTATATAATACTAGCTGACCCGACAGACTTTGTCCTGTCAAAAAATCTACCAAATCGGTTCTGATTGCTCTGTTGATCTTTTAAGGTTCTGTCTAAAGCATCAAAAGATTTTTTATGTGTCATCGTGCATTCATCCCAAACGATCAATTGAGAGTTCTTCGAAAAGTTGCAAGTTGGAGTTTCATTGCTTTGCATACTTAATGGCAATTTTAGTGCTGAATGGCTGTTCGACCACCTTCGAGTAAAGATGCTGCGATTCCCGATGAAGCGAGTGCAAGTGCAATTTTGTTTTGTGAGCGAATTGTTGCTAATATTAAAAAAATCAAAAAAGTTTTTCCTGTACCAACAGGCGCTTCTAAGAAGTAAATCCCCCCAGTTCCATCATTTGTTACTTTCATAAGAATATCAAATACATACCTCTGTTGTTCATTCACAGTGGAAGATTTGTTTCGATTAATTCTTTCAAATTATTGAGATCATACAGTTTTTCTCGATACAACTCTTGATAAAAAGCATCATGCATTGGGCGATTGGGCGATTGGGCGCGGCCAGGCCTATGTGAATTAATACTTTGTTTGACATCATCAAGCACATGTCTTCAATTGAAATCAATACTTCCTTGTAAATTTCTTTACTGATATTTATTGCATATATGTATTTCCCATTCTATTCCGTATTTGACACAAAATATCATCACACATATAATCTTTGTACTTTGTCCACAAATCAATCGGGTTTGATGGAAAGCATGTGGATATGATTATAGAAAACAATGTTCGTATTTGATGAGCGTGTGAAGATATTACAGCATCGCTGAGAGTTTGATCCCAATCAGCGTCATTTTCTAGCAATTGTAAACGTTGACGGGCTTCTCTGTAGGATCCACACAATTCACTATCAACAGTTCGTAAATGTTGGAATGATGTTGGGCCACGTACATTGACTAATAGCAGTCGTAAATAAAAACATTCACCATGGCTTGGAAGTAATGAATAAATTCGATCAATCGCATCGGTGGAATATACATCTGTGTATCCTGGTACTGGTTTTCCTTGTTTCCGTCGTATAAATCTTCTTGATTCCAAGTATAATATTTTCGCATTTCAGAATATATCAGTGTTTGTGCGTTGTATCGTTTTTACATGTCACAGTAGATGGTAGCTGAGCAGCTCTTTGACCTGCGTTCACTGCTGTAAAGTACACCCTTTGCCCATTTTCTAAATGCACAGCTAAGTGAATAACAGAAGGGTGTCTTTCATGAATTGAAAAAGAAAATATTCGCCAAATTGCTTCATTACTACCAACATTGCGGCCCATTTGGTATTGAGTAGTTTTTATGTTCATTTCGGTCGTCATGTTCTTGTGCAGTACGATTAGATCGGTAATTAGCTTGGTTTGTAGCATTTCGTGATCTACTTAAATTGCCTCGTCTTATAGGAGGCAATATTAAAATATTGTGTCACATGCAATAACTTTTTATTCATAGGTAGATAACAAAACACTACAAACAAAACAAAAGCACTCAGTAGAGTATAACAGAAAATGCAAGAAAATACCACCGGCAAGGGCGGCAAATGGACATTGACATTGATTTTTTTAATCTTATATGACTTGAAGTCAAATTCTTTTAACGCCATACCAATTTTTTCGTCTGCCGAAAGTGAAACAAAAGAAATAATGTCGAGAAGCCGACTACGATTATTCGTATTAGTTAGAAAAGGGCTGTTTTTAGCGTTTTCCCGACAATTATTCGAATTTTTCTCGCCGTAAGAACCATCCTTGGACATCAACAAACATTTTAAAAAAAGAATTGGCCAAATTGGTCCAGGCGCTGTTGAGTTATGCGCTTACCAACACATTTTGCGATCCATTTTTATATATTAGAGATAATATTGAATCTTAATCTACATACAATAAATTT